GTTCAAACCGATGACCAAAAAAAATTTGAAAAAAAACCAAACCAACCCAACTTATCGGTTTGGTTTGGGCGGGTTGGCCGGATTCGGGTCCAAATGCCCATCACTGACCATGGCCCGGCCTTTGCCAGGGAAATTTTTGCATGTACTCGTGGTATGAATTAGTTGTGTGTCTCTCTCTTTTTTTCTCTACTCCTGCGAGATGTCTTTTTACTCCAAAGCATGTAAGTTTTTCTCCTTTGGCACTATTATTCTTGTAGCAAACTGACAAGATTGATAGGATACTGATATTTTGTATATGTCATGTTAAGAATGTTTGGGATTGTTTACTATTGAAATAATAGGATACAATATCAATAACATATTAAGATGATATCGATATAATAGAACTATTTGTTGCAGTACTATTTGAGAACATTTTCTTTTTCTTTTTCTTTAATGAAGAAGCATATCTTCATTTTGCTGGATAGACTAATAATCACTTCTATGGACAATCACTTTAGGTGGTTTTAAGTGAATTTATGGAGAAGCACCTCCCATGTAAAAGAATGAAGCCCAACAAATAAACTCAACCCACAATTGATAGGTGAGCAGTTCATGTGTTTATATAGAACTCATGTACAGAGGGTTAACAAGTTTACATGTAGACAAACTCTTTACAAGATAATTATCAATATGGTATTTATCCTATACAAGATAAATATAACAGATAATAGTAAACACAGATAAGGCTTAGCAGCAGGAGATCACTTTAAGTCCGGATTAGGTTTATCACCATGTACTTCCTCCCATAAGTGATTCTGGCCCTCCCAGAATCACTCCCAAACATGCTCTTCATCAAAATTACATGTTCAGCCTCGTGGTAATCAAGATAATGGTACCTTAACCTTGGGCACTTAGCCCCTCATCATCATGTTGATACCAAATACTATAAGCTTACAATTAAAGGAGAAGAGGAAATATAGTAATAATATACATTCTACCTTAGTTTGATTAATGGAGTAATCTTAATGAGCAAGCCAGGGATAACATCATCAGGGTCATGGATATGTGGGTTCTCTTCAACAATGTAGGGGTCTCCACATTTTTCACTAATGGTCTGCAATGTCTCTCCTTCACCAACCATATAAATTTCATCACAGGGCTTGTTCAAATGATCCCTTTGGAGTTGGACCACCTTCACCGTGAATTCGCTTTCGCTCCATTCGCAGCAGCTGAGAACCAGAATCAGCGCCAAGAACAAAGCACAGTACCACAAAATCTTCTCTGCCAGTGCAGTTGATGAACACAGAACACACGCCATGTTGATTTTTTTGGCTAGTCCTTATGTCTCTGTTTGAGGTTGGTTTTTCTAAGAATTAGTGATTTGTGGTACGTGGAGAGTTGCTATGGTGCTATTTAAGAGGAGTGCTTTTCTTTGGTAGTTGGAGTGGCTGCAATTCTTGGCGGGAGTTGAAACACCTCTCTTAATGTGGTAGGTATATACAAATGTCATTGTCAGCACATAGTATTTCATAAAATAAACAAAGAAGAGGAGCAAAAGTTAGTTAAACTGCTTTTTTTATGAATGGATTTGGTCTTGGATTTTAACACCTGCATCTTTCTTATATTTTTTTAGATGGGTGCCTTGAGCTTCTGTTTCCCTAATTAAAGTCATGACACTTATTAACAAGTGATGGTCAAAGATATTATTGAAAACATGCTTCTTGTTCATTAATATTAATGAAGTATTGTTAAGTGTTGTGTTTTATTCATCTGATATGTACATTATATTGTTAAACTGTCAATATGATATTATAAGATTTTAGACGAGCCGCTAAAACAAGTCAATCTGTCCGATCATATTTGGCTCCATATATACCTGAGATATCTGTCACACCCGTATCTCCATAGGTGAAATTTATTCTGTATTTCAAATATCGGCAGCTACATATATATTTTCTAAATCTGTAGGGCATTGGAGTCTTATATGAACTTGGCTGTGAATACAAATATTACACAAGATAAGATATTGGCTAGACTGACTGAACTACAAAACTCTTTTTTTTTTGGGTCAAATACAAAACTAATTGATTAAAGGAATTAGCATATTAACATTAGTTTTAACAAATAAAAACGAAATTCTTGTATAGAACAAGTAACTAATATACGTAATCTAATCATATGTGGAACACATGATTACGTGTAGACCGGTTGTGTTGTACATACTCGTCATTACTTTAGTTATATTGCTGATTGTGAAATTGGATCACACATTTACGGGAAAAGGCAAAGTAATATTGAAGGGTATGTAAAATTGTGCCAATGAAATCAGTGAGGACACGACCGTTGGAGTAACGGCCATGGGTTTGCCCGGAAAGGTGGTGCCATAAGGATATCTCCAACAGATGTTTTCGGGATCCCAGTCGTTGCCCGTGGCAGAGTAGGAATCCCCAAAAACGAACAGCTTTGTTAATGGAGTAGGACGCCAATCAGGCTCAGCAGCTGAAACTGGCACCACTTGTTCTCCTTGTGAACAATTCAAGCAGAACAGCGGAGAAGTTTGTATGGCAGAATGTTTTTCTTTTAAAACAATAAAAAATCCTCTCATACTCGATAGTCAAAGTCTTTACAAGAATGGTGGATCCAACTAAGCTCGCGTTCCTGTTGGATGATCCAAGATTATCTAACCAAGACTAATCGCTGGGTCTCTTTTTCTTTTTTTAAAATAATAAACCGTATAGCCGCGCGGCTTTACTGGGTCCTCTTTATGCGGCTATACTTTTTACATATAATATAATTAAATGGTATCGCCGCGCGGCTATACAGGGTTATTTTTAAAAAACACTAAATAGTATAGCCGCGCGGCTATACTCTTTAAATATAATGATATTTAAAACGTACAGCCGCCCGGCTATATTGGGTCCTTTTAAAAAAAAAAGTTTAGCCGTTCGGCTAGACTCTTTAATATTTAAAAATAAAATAAAAAGGACCCAGTCTAGCCGAACGGCTGTACTTAGTCCTTTTTATTTTATTTAATAAATAGTATAGCTACGCGGCCATACGTGGTCTTTCTTAAATTTTTTTAAAATAAATCGTAGAGCCGCGCAGCTATACTAGGACCCTTTGTTTTTTTTGTACTTTTTTTCCATTGCCATACTGTAAGATTAGTGCTGACTGCTATTATATGCTTTGCAACTGCATCAGACCTGAAATTGTTCTTCAAGACTTACATTTTATCTGACAAAGAGACATAAAAACATTCATTCCATCATACCATGTTTTGTACTAAATTATTCAATTATAAAACCCGAAGATTGTTAAGAAAATCCAGAACTGAATTGAGAGCTTAGAAACTTATAGCTAAGTTGTCTTGTTGATGTGTTAATTCAGAATTGTTATACATAAAGCACGCAAATCATCAAATCGTCAGGACTTGATAACTGAGTTGCTCAAATCTTTTGATCCAGTTGACGTATAACTTGATGCTTAATTATGGAAATTTACAAGAGCAATCCACATACGGATCTGTATGGTCACAGCCACTGTTTCGGTTGTACATTGTTTCTTCAATATTATTCTGTTTTTCCAACACTTGATTATTCAAAATCTCTTGATAATATCGGACGCCCAGGCGCTAGGCGGGTTTTTTCAATAATGAATCGTATAGCCGCCCGGCTATACCGGGTCTTTGTTTTTAAATTTTATTTTAATAAATAGTATAGCCGCACGGCTATAGTGGGGTTTTTAAAAAAAAAAAGTTTTTTCCTTATTTTTGTTTTATCTATAAGAGTAGTTTAAAGCATTATCCATTATTATTAGGCCATTACCCGAGTCTCTATTGTTTCCTTTTGATTTTTAACTTTTTCATAGTTATTACCCATATAAAGAATTTAGCATTTCCCGTTTAATAATTGTATTATACACATACGTATATATTTTTCAATAATTCTTCCGTTTCCAGTACACATCTTAAAGACTCGGTAAAATACATATTTTTTTAAAAATCAAACGTACAATACACGTATTGTACAAGTACACATATATTTTTCATGTTTAAGACACGTTTTTTTTACAAAATGTTCAATAATACACACAAAATTCAAGTATTATACACATAATTTTCACATATGATTGAATAAAAATAATATATATTAACTATGAAAGAATGTGAGAGGCTAAGATTATTTCTTACTTGCTGTAAAAAAAAAATATGCAAGATGATGATTTTGCAATCTCTTTGCCAACTAGAACAAAAATTCAAACAAATATTTATTGGTATAGTAGTAAGATAGGTGGTAGTATTCTTCATGTAAAGTATTATTTGAAAAGTGAAGCAATTACTAAGACCACTTCAACTCAGCATGGAATTCTCTACAACAAATAATGTGTGCAGTAACATAATTTAGTAGCACTCGAGAGAACGAGGTAGATCAAAGGCGTATTCCCATGAAAAAGATGAAGAAAAATTGAACTCTCATATTGATTTACTGTGAAATTTCTCCCTCATCAATATCTGCTTTGGATATGTTGAACCTAGCAAATTATAACTATAAAGTATAAACTAATGGAAATAGGCGACAAAATTTCAAAATTGCTAGCACACCCTTCTTTGCAGGATTTGGTTCTCATTTAAATTTGATAATGAAAGAGAAGGAAAGGAAAAAGTAAGAAAGTGCAATATTCTATTTTTTTTGGGGGGAAAGCTTGAAATTACAGAATCAATCTCCTAAATTGATCAAAGCATAATGCTAGCTTAGCTTAGCCCATTTCAGCCACAACACAAACTGAATGGCATCTTACTTACATGTCTATGTAGAATATAAATCAACTATTAATTTAACAACACATGTACAAACTCCACCTCTGAATTCTTTATGAGAAACATAGAGGTCGACGAGGTAACGATGCTTCTAGCCTGCCATCTTCCGAATCTTAGCCGTCTGGTTGATGAAAAGTTGGGTTGTGTAGCACTTTTCTTTTACTACAGAAACTTACAATTTGAAAGGAGAAGAAGTAATGTTCTACCTTAGTTTGAATGGAGTAATCTTAATGACCAAGCCAGGGAAAACATCATCAGGGTCATGAATATGTGGATTCTCTTCAACAATGTAAGGGTCACCACATTTTTCACTGATTGTTTGCAGTGTCTCTCCTTCATGAACCACATAAATTTCATCACACGGCATGTTCAAACGATCAACTTGAAGTTGGATCGTCCTCAACCTGTACTCGTTTTCGCTTGATAACGATTCGCAGCAGCTCAGAACCAGCATCACCCCCAAGAACAAAGCACAATACCAAGAAATCTTCTCTGCCACGGCGGCTGGTGAACACACAACACACACCATGCTGCTGACCCTTTTGGCTTCTCAAGGCTTTAAGTTGGGTTGATTTTTCTGAGGATTTGAATTGAATTATGGCACATGGAGAGGTGTGTTCATATGGTGTTATTTAAGAGAAGGGTTCTTTTCTTTGGTGGTTGGAGTGGGTACAGTTCATGGAGGGAGTTGAAACGGTTCTCTCAATTAGGAATAAAGAAGAGGAGAAAGTTTTGGTTAAACTGCTTTTATTAAATGGGGTTTGGACTTTGGGTTTTGTTTGGCACCTGCTTCTCTTTGTTATCTTCTTTTTCTTGCTCGTCTTCTAGGGGAGGTGCTTAGAATTTCTTCCCTAGTACAGGCAATAAGGACATATTAACAACAATGGTGGCTGAGAGGGTGATTTAGTCAAAGATATATATATATATATATTGTTAAACCTTACTTCCTCGTTGAGATATATAATGTGGTAATATGTCTTATCTGTCAATGAAATTACGAAATACTCGAAAACTATATCTTCTGCCGCCCGATAGATTGATTAATAAGCCACATGACGATTGTAAATAGGTATTAAACACTATATAAGACAGCAAAGGATGTGGCAATGGGCCATGGTTTATATCAAATAACATATCTATCTATAACAACTCGATAGTACTCCTCCTTAATGGACCATGGCAATGGACGAAAAAGGGAGTTGTTATTGACACTTTAAAATAGTCATTATGCATTCCTCCTCAATGAACAGACGAAACAAAACGGAGTGCAAGATGACTATTCTGAATTTCTAGTAACAATTTTTTTTCTTCTGTTCTTACCATAATTGTAATGGGTCGTTGAAATATAATCTTAGAAAGCATTTGGGGTAGCCATGATTTGTATATTTTATCATTTGGACTCAATTATTAGAAGCCAGATAAACTGGTACCGCATAAAACAATAGAGAGAGTGAACGTTCGACTCAATCAGTGCAGGATTATCATCCAAACAGAGCACAGTTGGGCTGTCACATTCACAAGAATGGACTGGCGTTAGATTTCTTGAGGTTCAAAGTATCGAAGAAAAAAGTTTTGGAGGGTTTTCTTGAGAAGAAACAGAGTAATTGTACGTCAGCCAAGTGGATAAGTAAAATATATTTCCGATGGGGAAAGCAAATTGTTCAAGGAACCATGTTTTCTAATCGATTGATATGTGTTTATCATATCGATCATTATGACCAACTCTTAATTTACACATTAACCATCACATCGTGTGCTCAGGGAAAACCAAATGGCTCAAGAATCTGATTGCACAAAAGTTCCAACATGTTGACAACTTTCATTAACAGCTAATTGGACAATATTTAGCAAATGTTTTACAAGTTCAGGATATTGAAGGGGAAGGTTGCACAGGCGAGCTAGCTCTTTACTACCTCGAAGAAGGAAAGAAAGGCCATGAAGCGATTTTTGTCGGTAACAAGAGGCAACCCAACTTTCAGTTTACAATTTGTGTTTTTATTGACATTTGGATTGCAGTTACATAATCCCACAGCTTTCAAGATTTCATCAATCGACTTCTTATACAATCAAGGACTTCATCCACTTTCACTGTCCAAGCAACTTCAACCGGGGAATAGCCTGTCCATGGATTGCTTGAATTCCAACTGTAATAGAGCAAACATAATTATCAAAATGGCATCTAACAGAAATAGGATTTTCACAAGAGTATAATAATCTGCTCATACTTTTTAAGTCCTTGATCCATCAGTGTGTGCCCAACACAGATGCCCTGAGTTTCAACCCTCACAACCCCCTTCTTGTATGTAAAGAGATCAGGACGGACCAGTGCTACAAAACTGACCGGGTCATGAAGGAAAATCCCTGAAACAATGTCAGAGAGCCATTGAGATGTATTGCATCAGACACAAAATGAATGAACATAAAAACTATTGAACTAAGTGTAGGGGTTATTGCATAAATAAGTCACCATGAACACCATCAGATTCAACATGCCAATCTCTGTAGAATTTGCACGTGTCGCTTATCAGCTGAGCATGCTTTCCTTTAGATTGACGCAGTTGAAGGAGGTCATCATCTGAAACCAAAACACTATTTCACAGTTCCCTTAAAACAGCACGAGAAGATGATTGAAAAGTTAAACAAACTATAAACTGGTATTCCACCTGTAAATTGAACTTGGGTTGTAATATTTATTCCAACAACAGTAATGTTTGCCCCAGAAGTAAACACAACATCTGCTGCTTCCGGGTCTCCATAAATCTGCAAGTCAGAGACTGGTGTCATCATGTACAATTCGTTGAGATGATGGAACATTTTAATATTATACTAGCTACTTTTAGTGCAATAACATTCTTTCCCTTCAGAAAAGGGAAATGAGAGAACAGTGTCAGCAACAACTAACTGCAGTTATACAAGTACAAGAGCTGAAAGTAGGCCAGAGGGATGGAAACAAATCCCAAAAAAATGTTTTCGTTGCGATAAAACATAATATAATATGGCGATCCGTTATCTAAGTTTTGTGACTACTGCCTACCATTAGGATCATTGTGGCAGAAAGAGGTGGCACTTACATTTGCTTCCGCAGCAGGATTTACATTTCCCAGTGCAAAGAAAGCACCACCAAGTACGACCACCCTCTTGACCTTTTTTGCAAAGGAAGAATCTCTTTTGATAGCCTAAGCAAGGAACGATGCACATATTAGGGAAGGCTAATAAGAATTCAGAAACTCAAGGCAAACACAAAAGAGGAAAAATGATACTTCAACTTACCAGTGCTAAGTTTGTCAAGGGACCAAGGGCAAGTATAGATACTTCTCCAGGATATTCAGAGACCATATCAACTAAAAATTCAGAAGCATTTTTCTCAATTTTCTTTCTTTCTGGAGGAGGTAGAAATATGTTCCCCAATCCATCAGAACCATGTATAAAGTCAGCAACACGTGGCCTTCCACCCTTTTTTCAAGAATGAAACATAGATATGATAAACTAAATCAAGTATGTTCGATTAGGAAACTAACGGAGGCATTGGGAGGAGGTGAAGGGTACTTAAATGATGAAATGTATATCAAAATATTACCTTCAGAGGCTCAGGGCTTCCCTCCGCCACAGGCAAACTTGGATGCCCTGCGATCTCACACTATCCTTTTGCACATTTAAAACACTAATTGATCATGAACACACTAAAAAATGAAGGGAAAAAAAGGATAGACACTAGAAAAGACAGGCCCAAAGACGTTAAAAAGGCTCAGTCTACAAGAAGAGGGAAATCAATTGATACAAGTAAATACCAGAAGCAAGGCATTGCGAGTGGCATCTTCTGTGGTAACATTACCAAATATTGTTGTCAATCCCAAGACTTCCAACTCTGGAGTTTGAAATGCCATTAAGATAGCCATGGTATCATCTGTTTAGTACCAATAGAAATATCACACATGAAAGAAGTCGTTACAAGCTGTTCATAAACCAGTATCTATATATCCATAACCAGAAGGTTTTCCAATATCATTTTATCCAACTTCAGAAATGTTATTTGGATCTAATTTTATGCAGTAATTACAAAATTTTCTGCAACCTCACTGATTCATTAGAGTGCATATTAATACATCGAGAATAACAGCAAATGAACTTCTCAACACTGCCCGCCAACACCTCCCCCTTCCCCTTCTCTAGTTTTTCTTGCCTTTTCAAATGTTATAGCAGATGCTCTCGAAACACTTTTGCAAAGAGCAGAAAGCAAATTGTTTTACCAAATAGAACTGTAAAATTTATCAGTTATTCCGATTAAAACATAATTCACACCCAAAAACAATATTTCATCCCTTTCTTTTTCAAACTTCACTCACTAATAAAGCATGCGAATAAGAGAAGAAGAAGAAAAAAACCCATCGTTCCCTTTGCTTCTAATCAATTTCCAGTTCCCAGCAAGGTGAAATAGTTGAAAACACCAACAAATAATTCCACAATGCAATTACTTTATTTGCTAAAGATTCCCACAACGTCAATATCACTGTTTCACATACAAACAATTAAACATTTGATAAAGAAACACGTCAAAAATGGAAAACTCCTTTTGTCTGCTGCAAATGTAGCAAAAGTGCCTAACCATTCTTAGCTGAGGCAAGTTGCTCACTTTCCACGACTCATAATATCATACACATAAAAATCAAAATTTTCAATAATATCCTCTTCCTTTTTCCCACACTTTCTCAGCAACCAAACAGAGGATAGAAGCAGGAATAGGAACACACAAAACAGCAAAAGACGCGCGAAATGAAACGGAAAAACTCACCAATTCCAGGGTCAGTATCAATAATGAGCTTCTCACGCTTCAGCTGGCAGTCCAAAACGCCGTCGCTTTCGCCATCGAGCACCACACCGTGAGTATTCGTCATCGTGCTCCCCAAAAACGCCTCCGATCTCAGAACGATTAGGTCGCAGAAGGTAGCGAGAGAAGAACCAGAGGACAGAGTATTTATATAATGTGTATGTATATGCGCGTGTATATTATATATTATATATTATACATCAACATATACATACACACATAGCCTGAAATATTATAATCGAAATTGGGGTTTCGTCCGATCCGAAGGGACGAAGAGAGCGATGCGAAGCTCAGCTACCGCGAGGCCTCTGGGCGAGTATATATATTGGTTGGTTTTGTTAGGTGCCCGAAGATGAAGACGGGGGACTTCTTGTGTCCGGACCAATTAGAAACCGACACGTGGGGGGTATTCCAAATGGATCTGAATCTTGTCCGGTCTCTTTGCTTTTTCCAATTAACTATTTTATTTTATTTTCTGTTTTCATTGTAAAATTACAATGGTGAACATCCCCAGCTCACAGAATATTCTTCCCGGGGGCGAAAATTGAAAGGATAGAATTAGGCTTCTAACTTGGGTAAGGCTTATCCGATACAAGAAAGAAATGAAAATTACAAAAACTTAGGCTTACTACTTGGATTGGTTGAGTTTATTCTAATGGTGGTTATAATCACACTACATTGTTAAACGCGACACAAATTTTTACTATTTGGTTTGGTCGATTTTGTTGACTTTTGTAAGAATGATTTTTGAATGATGACCTTAAATAATGAAACGTTTGAATGATTTTCGAATGATACAGTTATGTGGACTAAAATGGGTGGTTAGCATCATATTAACTTATTAACCGATTCTCGCTTGAGCACTCTTATTTTTAGAGTATTTTATTCATTGCATATGATATTCATCAATAGATAAATGTTCAAGTTGTCCTAAGCAAGTTTAGTGTTGTCAACCGTATGAAAAGTTAATATTACCTACTCCTACTCTTTTTGGGATTAGTCATTATAATATCTATTTTTTTTTTTTACATCCTAAAAACATTCGATCCTGCTTAGTTTCTAAAGCCAATGACCAATTGAAAGGGATTGTGGTTAGTTGTCAGATTTTGACATGTATTATTTATGATTCCACGCAACCACGTGAATTGGATTAGTTATTTTATTATGAAAATATAATTATTCTTATCCTCCTTGATTATTAATTATTTCTAATAAGAAGTGTGATCAGAAAATTAATTAATATTAGTCACTAATAAACCATTTTTTAAAGAGCTTTATAAAGTAAAATTGGATTACACATCAGGATGCAATTCTCTTGATGTTTTGCTTAAACTTAAGAGATATTTAGTCATATACTCATTCTTAACAATAATAATATAGATAAACTCTACACTATTTAATTTACAAATTTATAAACAAACTCAAAAAATGACATATGACCCCATTGAATTTAATTTTAATTATTAAATTACTTTGATGCCCTATTGAGTGTTTTGGGCTTTTTTATGAGGTTTTGGGATTGTGTTTGTTTTAAGAAATCAATGACAGTTTTGTAATTTAAAAGAAGTTAAAAGCATTTTTGTTATGTTGTAAATGAGTTTTAGGTGCGTTTCTAAAGTCCATTTCACATAAGATTTTTTTTTATAATTTGTGCTCCTATATTGGGTATAATAATGAATCTCCCTAAACTTAAACCCCACTAATGTCATAATCCTGGATCATGATTAGAAATGATAGAGAATTAATTTTGGGAAGGGTTTTTACAACCTTTAATTACATGTGTAGATCGAGTCCTGGTCCAGATTATAATTAGAATTTATTCGTTGGACAGAATCAAAAATATATTTTATCCCAACCAGCATAAAAAATGAATTGAACAATCTGATGACACCAGTTTTACAATTGAGCAGAGCATTAGGTGATGACCTCACCATGCACCACGACCAAATTATGAGATGAGAACCACTTTTCTTTAATATTGTAACTCAACCTTAAATTATGGAACGCATGAGAAATTATTGTTTTTCACTGGTTTACAAACACCACATCAACATGATGACGTGAATTAAGTCAGTTAATTTTATCAACATGATAATGTAATGATGACGTAATGATGACGTGAATTACGTCAGTTAATTTTACACCCAAGTTTGAATCTCGAGTTCTAGTTCAGAACACGGCAATAGACATGTGGGCAGGAATTGCACATGTCTGAGTGACATCCCACGCAATCAGCAGAGGTTCACAATATTTAAATGTTTTATGTTAAGACAAAAGCATGTGGACACCCTTCATCCCAAAAAAGCATGTGGGATTTTGGTAAAGCTACTTTTCTTCCCCCATGAGCATACATAATTTGATAGTACACCAACTGAAAATAATTCATGTAAAAGGACCAAAACCAACATCAAATATTGAGTCAACAGAAGTGGCCACTTTTGACACATCACCAACCACTACATGTGGTGGGTTTGCTTAAAGCTTATCATATTATCCTGCCGATTTTATGCCCTCGAATATTAAGAGCAAATTTACTATTAGAACACCAAAAGGTTTTTTGGAATTTGATGGTTTCTAATTGCTTGAGATTTCGGTGTATGATGCATAGTAATATTGCTAAAGATGGATAAATAGATACAAAACTCTGATTTGCCCATTTACAGCCAAAGCAAAACACAAACAACATTTCTATGTATGGCCCCATTTACAGACGTTTAAATTTTTTGCCATACAACTGGTCGAAGGAACTATACGATTTGGTGAGCCAAAAGGGTCAGGATTAATCAGTTTGTTTTGGTGGAACTTATACTTTCAACTTCACTGATGTAACCCGAAGGAAGGCTTCTGGTTCCTTAAACCACCACCCTCCCGGGAAAACTTTGGCCCACTAGGATTACTCCGATTCAGCCGTAAGACTTTCTACTGCAAAATTTGGCCACCTGCACCATACGAAAGAACTCCGTGATGCCACTGACCTACCAACTGTTGGACAGGAGAAAAAAACAAATTGAGTGCAGGCACACAAACATAAAAGAAATAACTAAACTTTTGGCTAACCAACCACCAAGGTTAATTGAGACTGGGACTATAATCCAATATCCACACTTCCACAAACATCACAAGCTATGCATCATAACCTCAAAAATAAGAGCAACATTTACTCTAGGAAATTCTGAACTATCAACATGCAGACTTGCAGTATGCTTAACACAAATATCAGCAGCAATTAGCATATGTGACCACAAATATAAGCATCATATTTGACATACCTTTTTAGTATAAATCTGCTCACAACAGTTAAGGTCATTAAGTAACTTCACGCATTTTGGTGTTTTGGGAGCTTATGACGTTGGCAGGTGCTTTAACAAGACTACCCTTTGCATTTCCAGTGGCTTGTCCAGTTGAACTCCTAGCATTTGCTGTCTCAGTTGCTACTATGGACTTCTTTATCTGTCAAATAAGGGAGAGAAAAAAATAAAGCACGAGAAATATAACGAGCGAGTATTACACATTTCTGTTGATATCATGCATTAATCTAAACACCCAAGTTCCACTCAAAGTTTAGCAAAGAAAACATGCATGAGCCAATTCCCAACCCAAAGTTCACACAAACACAATGTGTAGAGGTGTATGAATGTCCATAGAGAAGGGAAAATACACAGGCCAGACTTACAACAGAAAGACGCTCTTTGTGAATATCGTTTGAGAGCTGCAAAGCCATCACACAAAACAAATTCATCAATTAATTAATCATTAAAAAAATACTGTTTTTTTGCATAACCATAAGCATAGGTTCTTAAGTTTTACAATCTAAACATAACAGTAACCAGTCAATCAATGCTTACTGGTTTCCTGAAGCCCTTAATCTCATCACCACCAAACCCAGGAAGAGTTATATTCCAATTTTTTTCTGTATGAAACAAAATAAGATATAGATGATGAAGCACTAGATGTACATAATGTGAACAGAAAATCATCGAGGGCTTCTCTCACATAACTAACCAATATGTAGAAGTATGTCTTTTGCTTCTAACGTAGTTGATTTTCGATGCTTGGCTAGTGAGCAACTAAATGTTGTAATCTGCACACCGAAAAAAGCATACTGTCAACATAGGAATACAGTGGATAAGGCACAATCATTATAGAGTATATTGAAAGCGATCAAGCAAATACCAAACAAGACAATTGAGTAAAATAAAGCCTTATCATAAGGATACCCATGAGTTTAACCAAAAAGGTAAAGATAGTCAATACTAAAAAATTAAGAGAATGTGAACATTAGGAATTTCAAAAAATTCAGAACAAATTCCTTCTTGAACTGGCACCAACTGAACACTCAATGAAATAAAAATAAATAAAATAACAACATCCTTTTAAACAGATAATTTCTTAGAGAAAGTCAGAAAAAATCTCACAACACATAAATATGACTGCTTAATGTTCTTTTGATTCTTTTGGGAAAACATCTGTGAGAACAAACTAAAAAGTTACCATAGTTAGCAACATACAAAAAGGTCTAGTTTCACGAAATAAATTGCCAAAATTTGTTTAGGCATATATGCTGAATAATAATCAGGGATATCCTTTAAGTGCAAGAAGAAGAAAAAAGACAAAATATTAGCTCAATTACTCACAGACTCAACAAATTCATCTGCAATATCCATGAGAATGTCTTCAACTTCTGGATCTAACTTCTCAGATGGATCAATCTGTCCAAAAGAAGAAAACTTAGTAACATAAGGGAAAAATGAAAGAAATTGAATTTCACATTCTGAATGAAAAGAAAAAATATATTATAGTCAAGCCCTCTTATATAATGTGAAATATATGGAGAAAAAATAATACAACATTTTGGAGATATTGGAGCTCCCAATTCACATACTAGAGGCAATTTTCTGACCCAAATTTAAATGGACGAAACTATTTCCTTTAAGAACCATTAACAAAATGTGGCATATGCATCCACACTAACATGAAATGAATGACTTTTAAAATTAGTTTTAACAGTGACTACTGATGAAACTTCTGGACTAATGCTAGCATGCACAAATATCAAAATATGATGAAAGAAGGACAACATGACTTACCTGGTTAACTAGCTCATGGATGCTTCTTTTGCTAAGAATTCTATTACAAGATTCATCCGTTTCTGCACTAGCAGTTTTATTTTGGGGCCCTGATTGGACTGTGTTAGGCTGTACTGATGCAGGAGAGGAAGACTTCTGGTTTGCCAGGTTCTGGACCCTTGTAATTTGACGGGGGGTTGTTTGTGGGATCCTTGATGGTTGAACGTGTTGCCCAAAATGCTCGGGTCCCTGATGCGATGAAGAAGGTTGTTGATGTTGCGTTGGTGATGTATGCTGTTGCTGTGAAGCTGAAGGCAGGGGATGGTGCTGTTGCTGTGAAGCTGAAGGCAGGGGATGGTGTTGTTGCTGTGAAGCTGAAGGCAAGGGATGGTGTTGTTGCTGTGGAGCTGTAGGAAGGGGATGGTGCTGTTGCTGTGAAGCAGTAGGAAGGGGATGGTGCTGTTGCTGCTGAACATGTGATCTTTGCTGCATGGATGGTGAGTTCATATGCTGCCTATATGAAGGGGATGGTATAGGAGGCTTCCCTTGTGACCCAGATGACAACCATGGCTGAGTATGAGGCTGCAAACCTTGAGATGTATTTGGTGATGTACTAGGAGTTCCTACTGAAGAAACTCGTAAAAGGCTGTGTCCTTGGAAATTCTGCATAAAGGAAATGGGATCAGCAAGCATACTTATAAGCTCGGAAAAAATAAGAAAAAAACACTTGAACACCAGAAGTCTTTAAGAAGAAGGCAAACCAACAACAACGAGCAGTAATGAGCAGATACAGCAATCAATATAAAGGTCTAAAGTAAATGAATGCATGATCCAACTGAACCCCAAAATAGAAAACAGGACACAGAAATGGAACCCCCAAGCATATCCGTTTTATACAATAAGGAAGGCTAAAATATTCCGGGTTTCTCATATTCTTGGAAACAAAATTCAAACAATACTCCATGATATTTTGTTAGCTTCATGATCAAAACCTTTGATGAACAATGAACTTAACAATGCAAGTCCAATCATTTCTTCATAAGACCCAAATTGAAAAATGGAGAGCATGCAAACACTAACGGTGTGTTGAAGTTAGAAAGAAAAAATTCCTCTAAAAAGGCAATCAGAAAAACCTTGGCAGACAACACAACTTCATCTTGTGAGTTATGACAGAGTACTATTACATTACATATCTAAAATCGCATGCCTATGAACTCCAAATTGAACATTGAAATCAAAATAGTAAATGTTACAACGAGATACTAACTTGGGAAGACGGGGACTGACTACTTGCGGTAGATGGTGGTCTAAAAGAGGATTGGACAGGTCTCTGTGGATGTTGTGCACTAACTCCAGCTGGCCGCATTTGAGAACTTGAACCGAGTGAACCCATCATCGCCATTCCTTGCATTCCTTGAGCAGACGGTCTCACCTATATGAGAAAAACATACAAATTCAATACATCTAGTATTCCCAATGAGAAAACCAACCCTCTATATTGACACAACAGCAGCATAACAAAACCACAAATTTCAATTCTTTTTTTGTCACCCAACATGTCAAATACTCACCATAATTACCACACATTCATTTGTATTTCATTTTTTTCTGCAAATAACAGTAATGTAGTAGTTGATAGAAGTAAAATGTCACCTGGGAAGCACTGGAATTGGATACGGATTCAGGCACAGCGGCACCGCCCCGGCCCAGGCCACCAAAATGCTGGCCATAAGAGGACGAGAAGGGCGCGGGTTGAGGAGGAGAAGGGCTAGGGTGGTGCGCAGGAACACCAATGGCAATGCCGCCCCTCGGCGGGGGAGGCGCTGAGGACGAGGGCGGAGGTGGAGGCCCAGACGAAGCCGAAGAAGAAGGCGACGGGAAGTGGGCGAAGTGGGACTGCGGCCAGGGGCGAGCCAATGTGGAGGGAGGCCTAGACTGGGGTTGGGGTTGTTGGGGTTGTGGGGTTACTGGGGTTGAGGGTTTAGGGTTAGGGTTAGGGTTTGGGGACGGAGGGATTGGGGTTGGGGTTGAAGGAGCTGTTGAGGAAGGTGGGGGAAGCTGAGATTGAGGTGGAGGTTGAGGTTGGGATTGGGCTGGTGGTTCAGAGGGTGGTTGTTGAGAGGTGGAGGGAGTTGGAGTTGGCGTTGGGGTTGTGGAGGAGGTGGTGGAGTTTTGTTGGTCCATGTCAGTTTGTGGGGAGTTGAAAGGAGGGAAATTTGGGTGTTTTTTTGGATTTTGGATTATGGTTTTGGGGCTTTTATAGGGAACCTGAATTTGGCACAATTTTACGGAGCTTTTTCGCTTTCTTCGTGTCAGATTTTTATTTTATTATTATTTTTTTTCCTTGAAAAACAAAATAGATTTTTGGTTTTTAAGCCCATGACTAGTGGGCTGTTGCTTGGGCCTTTGCATAAAACATTTTTAAATTTTCTCTCTTTTTGCTTCCTTTCCTTGGAGAGAGAGAGTTTTGGTGTGTGACTGACATTCATGTCTGTATTTCTTGTATGAAAAGAAAAGGAAAAAAATCCCCAACTGTTGGACTGCAGGATTGCTGTATTGAAATTCTAACATATCCATACTGATACATCTGGGACATTAATATAAACTGGCTATACTGAGAAGCGGTTTCAATTCCAAAATGAATAATATTGTTTTGGATAACTAGCAAGACTGCAAAGAGTGTTCTTCTCAATACCCAACAGTTCAGACAAAAACAAAACAAAAAAGCATTTCCCAACAACAGTTACTGCACTAGCTATGATTGGCATCCTCTTTCCAAAAAGTGGAGGTTGTCATTGCTGTTGGTAGATATATTAGCATAGAAGTTAGAATGCATGTCTTCCCACTTATGTCTGCTGGTACAGTTGAGCCAATCCCTGCCTAAGATGAGATCGATACCAGGTTTCCGGAATAATTGTCACCGGATTTCGATGTTTAAGTCGGCTCGAGACCAGTGCTTCTATCCCTCTCATGAAGTCAAAGCTTGATTTCTTGGTGTAGTAGCACTTTCATCTTCAAGAACTTGGTATTCCAAGCTGGGGTTTCCATTTTCAAGTGCAGGTACAGGAACTGGATCTTTTTCCCTATAACAGCGAACAATCAAGTGTTCTTCTAACGATTAATTCCAATGACACATATTGCGTATTTAATGAAGTATGTTCAATACAAGGTCAGAAACGTACGTTAATGAATAAATGATGAGTCCGATAACTACAACTGCAAACGCTAGATAGTATAACCAGTCTACCTGCAATTCGAGTCAGGTTTACTATCAGTGTGAGCAATTTATAAGGATATGGAAGGTATGAGCATATAATAATTGCAAAAATCTATACAGTATCAGGCTCATAACAATTGAATTCTTTCCAATATGTAGGGGTCCATCGTTAAGGTACCTGCTGGCGATAGAAAAAGATGCGAAAGACAACTGCCCACATATCAGATGTGAGAATAGAGAGATTCAGTAATGTCGCTCCGCTCAGCTGTATGGGGAAAAAAGCAATTATTTTAGATGTTAAAAGTGAGTAATTCTTAGAATTGCTTCACTCCATGGGAGTTAATGAACAAATTGGTTATTGTATTTGAAGTAAGTGTGTTAACAGTTGAGGAGAAGAAAATCGACCTTGAGAACAAGTGGAGCAAGTGTGTAGAACAATAAGCCTGATACACCATAACCAGCAAAGGCTAATATCTGGGAAGAAAGAAAACAGAGCACTCAACTTAAGAAGAAGAAAACACAATCAAGGAAAAACAGATTTTATATCATGTAATGCAGTATCTAAAGTTTCTAAAGATTCCTCTTTTCTTTCATCTAGGATTTCAGTACATGAATTCAAGCATTTATATAAGCGGCAGTAAATCATCACTTTGTCTATATTCCACAAGTTCATCATTAACTGTAATTCTTGAAGGCTCTAATCTTTTAAAAGAATAAGAACATAAATAAATAAATAAAAATTATGAACCTTACATAATCCAACGATACAATTATGATCAACACCTCGTTGAACTTGTTCATGTTACCGCATGATCCTAGCAGGATCTCACATGTCAAGGATGTCAATCCAGCTTGTAAAGCAGGGTAAACAATGGCCACATGAAATGTAATTATGAATTGTTCTTCAAGCTCCTAAACCCCAAGCTATGCAACTACCTTGATATTTTGATTCATGTCCTAATTAGGGGTGGAAGAACTGCTCGGAATGAGACAGGAGATCCACAACAGGATTACATACTTTGAGCAACCTTTTCACAATTTAAGGTCTGTATATTTTCAGAGTTACAAAGACAGCCCCAGAAAAAACAGAAAGCATTAGAAAGCCTGCTTATTTATTTGTCAAATTTATTCACATAGCTAAGATCACTTACAATATCTGTAGACCACTCAACTGATTCCAGAGTCTTTAATTCCAGGATAGACCTACAAGAGGGTTAAGGAGTCCAAGAGATATTGTTCTCCAATACAGAATCATGGTACAAATTATATGAAGCCACTTTCTTGTATGCACTTCGTGATGAAAAGGATACATCTGACATGCACTCACTAGAAATCCATAAACACCGATCATGCAAATAACTTCAACACGATCTTTTTTCTTAACGCAAAACTCCTGCATTTTAGGAAGGACTAAGATGAGAAACAACTCAAGAGAGGCAACTATTTGGTGTAGAAATAATTATATTTAAAGTCAACCAAAAATTGTGTCCGTGTGAGTGTGAGAGAGAGAAAATGAAACATGGGTTCAGTGATCTTGGATGTTCCATTGATATTACCACTTCTGCAGCTAAAAATGGGATAGGAAAAGTATGTAAGTTTCAGGTGAAGGGTTTTTTTACTGTAAAAGTCTCTCCTGCCATTGATGCCTTTTTACAAGGATAAAGTGACAGAAAATACGAGTTCGAAAGGATTCACCAACCTCACCAACATTGCTCATGGCAAAGAAAATGGTTCCTGCGATGACAAGTATGTCCCCTAGAAGAGGTTTTGAGCCACCTGAAGGATGAATGAAAATTTTGAAAAGATGCTACATAACTGGGTATGATTCTAGTGATAGATATAGGACTATTTAATGATTGTCTTCTTCATTCTTTTTTTCTTTACTAAAAAGAAAATTGTCCTCATATCAACTGGGAAAACTTCACCAATAACAGACCACTCAAAACACAATCATTAACTCATAAGTTAAAACATTTCTTCCTTTTTTTTTAGGAAAAAAAAAAGGCAAATGTTTGAAAAGTATTCGTAACAATTATTTACCCAAATGGAAAATTTAGTCCAAAAGGCGTAAGAGAAAGTCACCTCCACCACCCACCCCGGCATCAGAAAGAAGCACTAAACCAAGGCCCACCACACAGGTGGCTGCTCCAAACAATTGCCATAGGGAATATCGAGTGCGTAGGAAGATCCACGTCAAAATTATGACCCAAGCTATTGTGAAACAGTCCAATAGTGTCACACTTGTAATTGATGAGAACTGGTATGCTTCGTTCACTGCATCAAAACAACATAAAGTTAATTTTTCCCTGCATCATTTGCGTTTCAAGTACCTATATGCAATAAAATCCTTAAAACTCCTCCACAAGTTAACGATTAGTTTAGGTGTTCAATGTACAAATTTATGTCTTGTAAAGGCAAAGATTGCCATATTTCACACTGCAGACTTGTACACCAGGGAGCCTGAATATCCGAGCACCCTTCAGCCAATGAAAATAATCATCATGATTAGGCAAGATATTCCAGAGCAGAAACTTGCTCAGAATGGATGTCTGCCAAAACACATCATGTTCTCCCATGCGTCATGCGTGCAAACTATAAGCCTAATAGCCATCGTTACTTTGCTGGCTTGAAGCTGTTTACTGACTTAACCCGTCTAAATATCTTTGAAAAACATCCTACCAGTGTCCCCTAAACTTCACCTTGTCTATTCTTTATTGTCTTAGAAGAGCGCCATTGTCAAACTTGCATGTTTTTATTTCAAAAATTGATATGCATTGTGATTTCTTTCATCAATGCCATACAAATGTTATTCACAGTTTTAATTCCTTTTGTTTTTTATTAATTCCTATTGACGAATTTCTACAATGTCTACCATATCATTTAATATGTAAAGATATAGGCTCTCCTTTGCACCTGAAACAGTTCTGGCAAAATCCGAGCCCTTAATGTACAATCATCCCAACCAAAAACAATGCACAACCCAATGCCATAATGAAGACACAGAATCATTCGATCCCAACTACTAGCAAATCGATGTTGAATGGATATACGATCTATTACAACAAACTTAACAAGCAGCACAATCGACTAATAAATTGCATATCCAGGACTGACACTGACCATGTGAAAGAAAGCTCAACCTTTAGCACTCACCAAGATAGTTCCCCTGAACATCAACAAACCCCAAGAGTAGATACCAATACCAAGAAACCTGCAAATCCCAAGTTTTCAACTTTTTCATTGCTCATTTCACCAAATGGAACACTAATGGCAAATCAAAGTAACTTAAACTACAAAACTCTGATTAATTTCTTGAAACTGGTTCATAATAAAGGATTTAATGCTTGAAAAGTGAGACATACCCGTAGCTTCTCACGCCTATACACCAAGATGCTCCCATAAATCAAAGCCAAACCCAAGTAAGTAGACATAGTCTGTGTAATAGGCGCATCCACACCTGAACAAACCCACCAACCATGAAACCATTTTCTATCAAAAGATTCGAAAACCCAACAGAGAAAAACAATGAATGAAGTAAATAAGAAATTAGTAAGAGGAAAAAAAACCAAGAAATTTGAAATGGGTTGGTGGGTTTTTGAAGTTACCGAGAGTGGAAATGAGAGAGGAAGTGAGGCTCATGAGTGCGAGAACAAAGGAGACGACCTGACCCAAAAACAGTAGGTACAGAGTTCGCAAGGTTCCATGGATTCTCCACCAGTTGGTGGTTGCTTGCAACAAGTTCATAGCTGAGCTGAGAACTATCTTTAAATTATTTGCGTACGTAAGAATTTGGATCCATTGTCTTTAATCTTTATAGTGAAGAAGATGGAGAGGTCGTTTTTGGAGATTTCAGATATCTGCTGATGCTACAATTTGGTGTCAGCGCTCTACCAACCATTCTTGGAATTCCAAATGGCGGGGAAGTATACTTTTTCTTGGCAAGTAGGGCCTATATCACGTGATTTTTTTTTAAGGTAGAAAATATCACGTGATCTTTTTTTCAACCAATCTATCTTCTTCTTC